GAATCCAGAGGAATAAAGTTATTCCTTATTGTAACTGTTTCAGTTACTTCCCAGTTCTGATGAGGTATTGCTGCAGGTTTCAGACCATGGCCACCATGTTGGCCGTCAACGTGTTGGGATGCACGGGAATGACGGAGGAGCGGGCCGCCCTGCTGAATAAAGTCATCCAGATCGCAGCCGAGTTGAAGACCACCACAGGCGACATGTTCGGCTTCGCCGCCGTCATGAGAGCGCTGGAGCTGCCGCAGGTGAGAGGAACAGATCAGATTTAACGCTGCGGTTTGCTAATCTTTACGGGTGGACAGTTGGGACAGGAAAGAGCAAGGGACATGGAGCTGTGGAGTGGTTACCTCTAACACACAGAGAATAAAACACAGTGAGCAACACTGAACTCTAAACGTGTTATCTCTGGCTGTAAAGATACAAAGATTGCTGTTATAATTAAACTATCTGCTGTTATTAATGTCAAAGTTGGAGCTTCAGTTTGGAAAGCCAGACGATGGTGTGAAAGGTGTCACATGTGATCATTAATTTTGCTCTTCATTGCCTTAAAACGAAGCTACATTTTAAAACAAAACGTAGCAACTTTGTTGCTAAAGCAGCAGGAAGAGAGGAGAGCAGAAGGTGATAAAGTTTCCAATATGAATCCATCAAACTGCTTCTTTCTCTCCTGTCTGAGGCCAAATTCACTCAGCAGCCAAAAGCAACTCAAATCTCCCAGAAAAAATCTAAATTGAGTTGTATAAGTTATATTTTTCTGTTTGTGGTTTTTGACGTTCCTTCGTTCCTCAGGTGTCTCGTCTGGAGAAGACTTGGACGACGTTACGGCAGCGACACACAGAGGGCGCCATTCTGTACGAGAAAACGCTGCGGCCGTTTCTGAAGAGCCTGAATGATGGACGAGGTATATATATATATATATATATTTTTTTTTTCTTTCTTTCTTTTACTCTGTGAAGTAAAGTTAGAATCAGCCATTCGCTCTGGGTGTGTCTGTCCTGCAGAAAGCTGTCCGCTGTCCAGCACCACCTTCCCCCACGTCCTGCCCCTCCTCACCCTGCTGGAGAAGAGCACTGCGGTGGCCGAGGGGTCGGAGCCGTGGGAGACAGCGGAGGCTGGAGTGGAGGTGGTCATGCTCCACCTCACGGCGGCCAGAACTATCGCTCAGCTGAGCAGGATCTATCACTCCAACGCTAAGAGCAGATTAAAGGGTAAGAACCTGGACAGTTCTGGTCCTGCTACCTCCACTGGGTCAAGTCGGGTCACAGAGGCAGCAGCCTAAGCAAACCTTTCGTCTACCTCTGCTTTAGCCATGCTCATCTCCTTCTGTTGATGTATTTATTGTGGACATCGCTGCCACCTGCTGACATGGAATAGGTATTACAAGGATTAATTGGAAACCCAAAAGCACTTTAGGCTGTTTTCACACCTGATAATCTGATTGAGGTCCAAAGTTGAAACATTTGTTCCATCTCCAGCTGCTGTGATTCTCTTTCTCACTGCACTGAGTCAAACCTACCAAACCCTTTGAGCAATTTGCCTGTTCCCCTCCTCGCCTGTGGGGGCGCTGCACCAAGAACCACTGAAGGAAACAATATGAAAACCTCTGACAAAGACACCGAGCACAACTTCCTTCTTCACAAAATGCAAACAAAATGGAGTAGCATCAAACTTTAGCACTAGATGTTCACAGATGCATTTGAACCGAACCAGAATTTCTTCAACCGAATCCCGACCCGAGGTTTGTATACGGACCAGAGTTTGATTGTTTTGGTTCGATTACACAGTCACAACTCCAAAAACGAACTGGACTTTCAAGGCAAACAAACTAGAGGTGGATTAAAGCGGACTAAGCATGGCCGATGGGAATGCACCTATAGATCCATATTTTCTTCAAAGTCAGAACAAAAAAATATCCTTTTAAAATATAAGAGTGTAGTCGGGGCAAAAATCTGTATTCCTGCCAATTCTTTTCTTTATTGTTTTTGTATTTTCCATGTCTGCTCAAGCATAACAAAAGACAAAAAAAAATCTGAATTCTTTTTAATATAAAATATAGAAACCCTGAGTTACCGTCATTGGCAGCAGCATGCTAACCTCAAAGTGTCAAAGTGAAACCAGACGGTTGTAACCGACGTGAGCTGATGGTGAACTGTGACGTTCCAGGTTTCCAGGAGCAGGCCGAGGTCAGGGAGATCTTCCTCACTGACTTCCAGATGAGGCTGCTGTGGGGGAGCAGGGGAGCCGAGGAGAACCAGGTCCTCAGATACTCCAAGTTCGACCAGGTGTTGACTGCCTTGTCCAACCGGCTGGAACCGCCGATCAGACGATGCTGATCCCAGAGACGTTTAACTGATCAGCCGGCTTTAAGCGGTGGATTCTCTGACATCCGTTCAAGTCACTTTAAAGTGTAACTAACCCTCTGTGAAATCATAACCACGCTCCCGGACAAATGTAGAAAATTTAGAGAGGGTGTCGATGTGGGCATTTCTAAAGACCAAACACGACTGGCTGTCTGTTCCCCTCCCATTGTTGTTCCAGCAACAAAAACATTTCAGAGACTTACAGACATCATCTGAGGTGACTGCTTTAAAAAGTTCAAGAAGTTAACATTGCAATTTATTGTAGAAACATTATTTTTTAATGCTGTTTTTAAATATCTTTATTTGTTTTTAACTTATATCAGTTTTATGTTATTTCAGTAACCAAAATGGATTTTTCTGTATTATTTTGGTTGTATTAATATATTTTTGTAGTTCATTGCATAAATGTGAAAAATCAAAATGAACAAAATAAAACAAAAATGTAAATGCTAAACCTAAATGCACCGTTGTAACCAATCAGGAAATTAAACTCCAGTGACCACATTTCAACCCAAAGGGGGCAGCACTGTGCCAGTTTAGCGCTGCAAACATTGCAGAACTAAGCAAAATTACCCAAAAACATCTTTAAGTTTCTATCTTTAAGAAACTTAAAGATAGAAACATCAAGAATATATTTAGAGAGTTTATCAGCAAAAAATGTGTTTTGGGGGCTAAATACACTTTAAATGTGACAGATTGTGCAGTTGCTACATGGAAACATTTTTATCTGAGCCTCGCTGACGTAAACCTGAAGGAAGGAGAGTGAATGCATGATAACAAAACTTTATTAAGGCTTACAGCACAAATATTGAAAGGAAATGTGATATGAGTGTTGTTTTTTGTGTTTTCTAACATATATTTGGATTTTTACGTTGAAAAACTCCAACTAAGACACTTAATCCTGTAATTTGTGAGGTGAAACAGTTCTTTTATCCTTTTATCATCCATCAGTTCCAGAGAATAAGAGTCCAGGACTTCAGACCGTGCAGCAGGCTGTCAACACAATGTTTGTGTGAAATGTGTAGAACTGCAGATGAAATGAGGTCCAGTTCCCGGTTCTGTTGGGACTACAGGAAGTTAATGCTGAACCTTTGTCTGCAGGGTAGAAATGATTTGTGTGCCTGAAGGCTGGACCTTCATTAAATACTAGACCAAACAATGTCTCTCCATCTTCACTATTAATTTTATTAATAAATGGTAAATCTGTTGAAGCAGTATCAGTTTGAGGGAACAGCTTCTGACAGCAATAATTCAAATGTACAGAGAACTTATATAATCTTACATTTAATATTTATCTGTCTAGTGTTATAACTGTGAATAAATAACATTTTCCTCTCAGAAAATTGACTTTATTAAAGGTTCCTGTGTTATTTTTTTCTCTCAAACTTTACTATGAAGTTTTTAATAAACTTACTCCAAAGATCTCTGGATTATTTTTAGTGTGTTGCTCTAAAATGTTGCTGCCAGTTTACAAAAAGATGAACATCTTTGTCTTGTTTGCTTTGCAGGAATTCAAAAAATAAACAGTTCACTAGTTTGAAAATAGCGCCCTCTGCTGTTCAAAAATACATTTTTTATCATATTCTGTTTTATTTTTATGTAATAATACGATTTGTAGCAAGAATTTATTTTGTGTTTGTTTACATTTTTTAAATATAAATTTAACAAATGAATCATTGAATCGTGTTATGGATGATTTTACTTTTAAACAAAGTTTCGAGTCAAAATATTAACTTTCTTATTATTATATTTATGTGCCAATATTTTTGTTCACGGGGTGCAAACAATCAAAGATATTTCCATTTATTATTTTAATTATTTTTCATGTTGCACTCTGAGAAAACCTGAGACATCTGCCGATGTGTTGCTGATTAAGTCACACAAAACTCTTAATATTTCCACAAAAATGATCAAAATAAAAATAAAGACAAAATCTCTACAAAGTTAGTGTGTAGATTTTGTTGATTGGCTGAGTTGTAGCAAGAAAACTAAACAAATACAACCAAAATCAGCAACTCTTCTGCTTTACTTCCAAGACAAATATATGAACGTTCAACAAGCTTAAAGGTGGAATTAAAGTTTTGATTACTGGAAAGAAGAGACGAAAGATGGCGTATCAGTGCCATTGTAGAAATCAAAAAGAAACATATTTCCGTCAAGAAAAACCCTCAAAATATGAGAAATTTCCTAGAAAAAAACGTTGAAATTTCTGAGTTTCAAAAGTCGAAAATGTGCTGGAAAAAAATGAAATTTTGTATTTAATCTAAGAATTATTCCAGTTTTTTTTTCTCAAACTTTCGGAAATGTCCTCTTTTTTTTTCTTTTTTTTTTTTTTAATTGATCTCAAATTTTCGACTTTTGAAACTCACATATTTCTAGAACATTTCTGGGAATAATCTCAAAATGTCTTTTATGCCATGAATGTACCGCTCCACCCCCACTTTTTTCGGTCTACAATGGCCCAGAAAAACCTTCATAGTTTTCTGTGAAGAAATATTAAAAAGTCAGCTGGACTGTGATCCTCCAACGTGTCCTGCGTCTGGTCAACACAATACGTTCACATTCGTTCTGGGATTTGTAGTCCCTTCAGTGACCACGTTCGGTACATCCGCATTACTTCCGGTTTCCTTAAAGAACTACAACCCGCCCGGCGGAGCTCTGAGGAAGACAGCGGAGGTTTTCCGGCTGGGAACCAAAATGCTGGCCGTCCTGCCGGCGCTGCTGCTGCTGCTGCTGCTCAGCTCCAGGCCGGCCTGCGGCGTCTTCCAGAAGCTTTACTGCAGCTTCTCAGACAGCTGCGACTGCGACTTCAAGCCCAGCATCAGAGGTGAGTTTGGTCATGTTGTTTTCAGCTAATGCTACATGCTAGCAGGCGGCTAACAGGATAACATTCAGCTCAGAATGACTTACCGGTATGTTTTGGGTCGCCGTCATGTTCTGTTTCAGCTTAAATGTCTTTTTCTGATGGTCTCACATTTTCCGGATTCTGTAAGGGTCAGCTAGGCTGGTCCTGCTGCAGGAAATCATCCCCACACCATAACACTTCCACCTCTATGCTTCACATTTAGTATGAGGCTCTTTGGTCCAGAATATTTATTTGTTTCATGACAAACTTGTGCTCCGTTCTGGTGTCCAAATACTTTCATATTCCAGAAGTCCAGTTCTTATAAAACAATAGTTTAACATGTGCTGTTGCTGATGTAGCATACATGTTTGAAAACTTCTTTTAGCATCTTCTGCTCTGCTCTCAGGGTGAACTTGTGTTTTCCTCCTTTACAGAAGAAAGATAGATTTCAGATTCTTCTGACACCTGTTTAAATATCTTACCAGACTTGAAAACATGAACTACATTTGGTTTATGCAAAAAATGTCTACTTGTCTTTGGGTTTAGTCAGTCTAAAACTGCAGCAGTAGTTTATCAGCACTGAAGGCGTAAACTTTGAGAAAAACGTGACTTTTGTCAGTCAAAAGGGATCCTGGGATCCTGGGAGGCCCACAAAACGTCTGGACTGAGGGAAACCGCCTCAAAGTTTTCACATGCAAATGGTCTCAAAACATCAATATTATTATTTATCATGATAACTTATGGTATAATTTATTGTTCAGTAAAATTTGTAATCGTGGCAGTCAGGCATATCTACTAGTTTAAAATATCAAAGTTTCATGTCGTTCCTAAATAAAAACCTTTGGCTTGAATTGCTTATAAAAATAACACAATTCAGACAATTCAGTTTTTGTGTATTTGATGCTTCCTCTCAACCAGGACTCCTTTAAAAACAGGTTTTTGATATTAATGTATTTTTTTATCCTGGTAAAATAAATAATAATAATAACTGACAGGTTTAAGCTTTAACCTGTTTGTGTCATGATGAGCAGACTTGGAGTGGGACCTGTACAAGAACGTCTTCGGTCAGCACCTGGCCCAGGACCTGGTCTCAGAAGAAGTTTCCAGCTTTCTCCTCAATAAGAACCCGGATCGGCCCCTGGTTCTGTCCTTCCATGGCTCCTCTGGGACCGGGAAGACGCTGGTCAGCACCATGCTGGGGAACCACCTGTACGGCTCGGCCATGAGCAGCCCCTTCGTCCACCAGTTCGTCCCCACGCTCCACTTCCCCTCAGCCGAGCTCGTCGCTCAGTACCGGGTGAGTCGCTCTGGACAAGGCTGCAGAACCGCCATCAGAACCGCTCTGGGTTTTTCATTATATTTTAGTTTTATTCTGTTGTGACTTTGTGTTAGTCTAATTCAGTTAGTTTTAGTGATTTGTCCCAGAATCTGCTGGTTTTGAAGCTGTGTGTCTGCTCTGGTCGGCAGGAGGAGCTGAAGAGCTGGGTGAAGGGAAACCTGACGGCCTGCGCGCGCTCCGTCTTCATTTTTGATGAGATGGAGAAGATGCCTGCAGGCCTGATCGACGTCCTGGAGCCGTTCCTGGGTCCGTCCCACGTTGTGTTTCGCACCAACTACAGGAAGGCCATCTACGTCTTCATAAGGTAGCCTGGACACCAGACACACAATCATTCACCATAAAATTACACAAACTGGAAACATGAAAATGAATTAGCTTAATAAAATCACGCCAGTTTTTAAAAACTCAAGTTTTTGGATTAAAAGTTTTGCCGCTAGGATGAGGTGGTTTTTCACGATTATCAAAGTAAAACTGCAGTGGAAACAACAACCAGATGTTACTACTGGCAGAAACCATGAAGAAGAAGACAGGAAGTAGTCAGAGGATGATGGTGCTGCATGTTTTTTTTATAACTTATCACATGAACAAACTTATTCACGTGATGTTAATTACATTTCTTATATAATAAAAAGACAGCAATAGCGATATAGTGCGGTTTTTGTTACGTTTCCCTTTCATCCATCCCATGCCGGATATGGGATGGGTGAATATGCCCATATACGATTGCATATGCCATAAAATACGACGTCATATTAGTGCCATGATAGATAGGAAAAACTTGGACATTTCTGAGTTTGAAGTCAAAAATTTGCTAGAAAATACTGAGTTTAATCTCAGAATTTTTGGGGGGAAAAAAATGGGAATTTCTGAGCTTGAAAAGTGATAAATTTGCTAGAAAAAATTCAGAAATGTTGAGATTAATCACTGATATTTCTAGAAAAAAATCAAGGAAACTTCTGAGCTTGAAAAGTTTTGAATCTCAGATTTCAAATTTTTTCTGGAACATTTCTGAGATTAATCTCAAAATGTCTAAGTTTTTCCTGTTCTTTTTTTTTATTGATTAAATTTCTGATTAATTTAACAGTTTTGGAGTTTCTCCTCGCAGGTTTTTGAGTCTTTTGGTGGGAAATTGCTCCTCCTTTTTTATTTTTCTACCTGCGGCGGCCCCGATGCTCCGTGGTATCGTTGGTTCCAGGTGTGGCCGTCTCCCTGACGTTCTCGTCTCCAGGTGTTTGTCACCGTTTCCTTGGTGATTCCACCTGAGAGTCTGTCGTTCAGCGGTTTGTTCAGTGTGTGTCCGACCCAACGCCGTCTTTCCTCCTGATTTCTGCCTCTGCTGGCAGCTGGCCGGTTCTTTCCTTTGGGTTCATGTTACTGTCTGACCAGCGGATGTGGAGCCTCCTTTTGGGATGCTGTTGTCATGGCAACGCAGCTGCTGTAAACCTCTGCCTCCTGGTTTCTGTTTGTCTGCAGCACCGCAGGACAGGAGGCGATACACCGGCTGGTTCTGGAGAACCGGCTGGCTGGACGGGACAGAGACGAGATCAAACCGTCTGACCTGCAGGAAGTCGTCCAGCAGTCGGTTTACAGCAACAAAACCAGTAAGAGACGCCCGTCAGATCTCTGAGTTCTGATTATTTAGTTTATTAAAGTCTGGATTGTTTTTCCTCCAGTTCTCTCTCTGGGTTTCCAAAGTCCAGAGTGATGTCATCACAGCCACAGCGGCCATCTTGTTTTACATCTTCTGTGAATTCAAGTCAACCCACAGAAGGAAAAAAAACTATTTCTGATCACATTTTCTGTCATTTGTAATTTCTTTTTAAGAAAAGAAAGCGAGAGAGGGAAAAAAGTATTAAATTGTAAATTAAATTTAATATAAAACATTCAGAGATGTTATTTTTAAGCCGCATGGTTTTGATATTCTGATCATCGCTATGGAAACCAGCAGCAGAAACCAGTTTTTCTGCTCTTCTTATGATTTTACAAAATTCGGCTTTTACTATTTGAACAGATATTACTGAAAGTTAAATCAAACTGTGAAGCTGGTATATTACTGAACATGGATAATTCATAAGTTATTACCTACAGAGACTTGGCTGTTCCAGAACCTGTGGTTCCAGATTTACCGTCTGGCTTCTTCTGCTGCAGGATGATGACGCATGTCTCACTTCAACGACGTAAAAATCAGACAAAATGTGACATTCAGACTGCAGACGTTCTGAAAACTATCTGATATGACTTGGTTCCACATATGGAAGTGGGACAAATTGGATTTGTTTTTTTTGGTACATCATAACTGAGATGTCCAGAGTGCCATGAAAAAGTCGGATGTTCATATTTGGGTCAAATAATTCACACTGCTGTGTGAACGGAGCCAACCTGGAGTTTTTACTCACCGTTATTTTAATAAAGATATTTTGTTTATATATTTGAAATGTTCCGATCAGTACCAAGGGTTGATCCACGCCTTCTGCACCTTTTTCCTTCCACTAAACTTTCCATCAATATATTTTGATACAACACTTGAACAGCCAGCTTCTTCAGTGACTGAAGTCGTGACCATTAATGGCTGAGCAGACCTGAACATGTTCATATCAACATGTCTGTGTTGGGTTTTCCTGATATCAGGATGATAAATGACTGACTCAGGATTCTCCCTGATCGTCTCTGCAGTGAATCCTGTCTGAACCCGTCTGTCTCCCCAGGTGGACTCTACCTGTCCAGCATCATCCAGCAGAATCTCATCACTCGCTTCGTCCCCTTCCTGCCGCTGACCCGGACCCACGTGGAGCGCTGCGTCCGCGCGCAGCTCTGCCAGCGCGGCAGCTGTAACCGCGACGACGTGGTGGAGGCGGTGGGGGGAGACATGACCTATGACCCCGCAGAGGGACACTACTTCTCCACCACGGGATGCAAGACGGTCGCTGGAAAGATCAGCTTCTTCCTGTGAGCCGCAGCCAGACGGTTCTGGTTCCACTGGGACGAAAACGCCTCCGATCCGCTTTCAGGACGCAGGATTTGAACCGACGACCCGATGCTCATGGGCAACCGGAGGGAAAAGCTCTTTGAAGGCAGAAGGCAGCAGGAGGAAACAAACGGCAGCAGCAGAGTTTGGCGGCTGCTGCCTCTTCATGGTCTGAACCAGGAATCCTTTCTACCACGGCGATTTGGGGCGGTTAGACAGACACAGGAGCAAAACTCAGCCAAAAAAAAGTTTACAGATTAATCTAATTTCAAAGCTCCAAAAGTCAAAAATTCACTCCAAAAAAATAATCTGAAATTTGAACATTAATCTCAAATTTTCTACAGAAAATCTGGAAATTTGTCACTTTGAAAAGTGAGAAATTTGTTGGAAAAAATGTTTAGATTAAACTCTGAAATTTTCTAGAGAAAAACTGAAGTCAAATATTTGCCCAAAAAACATCTGAAATTTTGAGATCTTAGAGATTATAAAAAACTTGTACATTTCTTAGTTTCAAAAGTCAAACATTTTTACTTTTGGAGCTTAGAATTTTCTGTGTTTTTTCTAGAAAATGTTTAAAATTAATGTCAAAATTTCTGAATCTTTTGGCAGAAATTTACTCTTATTTTTTTAATATGCCACCGTATTTCTACCGTGGACCAAACCTTAGACGACTTTTAAAACCTACAGCTTTTCAAAAAGCTGCAGCTGCTTCATTGACTTGTTTTATTTTATTTAAATTATTTTTGCTCTCCGTCTGTCAGCCTTCAGGCGACTTCAGACGCCTCACAGGGTTCAGTGAAGATTTTTGATTTCTTTGGTCCTTTTAGGGATGCAGAGGAACAAAGACTCTGACTTTATTTTATAAGTTATTATTTTATGGAAAGGGATCAGAGATTTGAATGAAAATGTTTTAATTTCAAGGTGNATAAAATATAGAAACCCTGAGTTACCGTCATTGGCAGCAGCATGCTAACCTCAAAGTGTCAAAGTGAAACCAGACGGTTGTAACCGACGTGAGCTGATGGTGAACTGTGACGTTCCAGGTTTCCAGGAGCAGGCCGAGGTCAGGGAGATCTTCCTCACTGACTTCCAGATGAGGCTGCTGTGGGGGAGCAGGGGAGCCGAGGAGAACCAGGTCCTCAGATACTCCAAGTTTGACCAGGTGCTGACCGCCTTGTCCAACCGGCTGGAACCGCCGATCAGACGATGCTGATCCCAGAGACGTTTAACTGATCAGCCGGCTTTAAGCGGTGGATTCTCTGACATCCGTTCAAGTCACTTTAAAGTGTAACTAACCCTCTGTGAAATCATAACCACGCTCCCGGACAAATGTAGAAAATTTAGAGAGGGTGTCGATGTGGGCATTTCTAAAGACCAAACACGACTGGCTGTCTGTTCCCCTCCCATTGTTGTTCCAGCAACAAAAACATTTCAGAGACTTACAGACATCATCTGAGGTGACTGCTTTAAAAAGTTCAAGAAGTTAACATTGCAATTTATTGTAGAAACATTATTTTTTAATGCTGTTTTTAAATATCTTTATTTGTTTTTAACTTATATCAGTTTTATGTTATTTCAGTAACCAAAATGGATTTTTCTGTATTATTTTGGTTGTATTAATATATTTTTGTAGTTCATTGCATAAATGTGAAAAATCAAAATGAACAAAATAAAACAAAAATGTAAATGCTAAACCTAAATGCACCGTTGTAACCAATCAGGAAATTAAACTCCAGTGACCACATTTCAACCCAAAGGGGGCAGCACTGTGCCAGTTTAGCGCTGCAAACATTGCAGAACTAAGCAAAATTACCCAAAAACATCTTTAAGTTTCTATCTTTAAGAAACTTAAAGATAGAAACATCAAGAATATATTTAGAGAGTTTATCAGCAAAAAATGTGTTTTGGGGGCTAAATACACTTTAAATGTGACAGATTGTGCAGTTGCTACATGGAAACATTTTTATCTGAGCCTCGCTGACGTAAACCTGAAGGAAGGAGAGTGAATGCATGATAACAAAACTTTATTAAGGCTTACAGCACAAATATTGAAAGGAAATGTGATATGAGTGTTGTTTTTTGTGTTTTCTAACATATATTTGGATTTTTACGTTGAAAAACTCCAACTAAGACACTTAATCCTGTAATTTGTGAGGTGAAACAGTTCTTTTATCCTTTTATCATCCATCAGTTCCAGAGAATAAGAGTCCAGGACTTCAGACCGTGCAGCAGGCTGTCAACACAATGTTTGTGTGAAATGTGTAGAACTGCAGATGAAATGAGGTCCAGTTCCCGGTTCTGTTGGGACTACAGGAAGTTAATGCTGAACCTTTGTCTGCAGGGTAGAAATGATTTGTGTGCCTGAAGGCTGGACCTTCATTAAATACTAGACCAAACAATGTCTCTCCATCTTCACTATTAATTTTATTAATAAATGGTAAATCTGTTGAAGCAGTATCAGTTTGAGGGAACAGCTTCTGACAGCAATAATTCAAATGTACAGAGAACTTATATAATCTTACATTTAATATTTATCTGTCTAGTGTTATAACTGTGAATAAATAACATTTTCCTCTCAGAAAATTGACTTTATTAAAGGTTCCTGTGTTATTTTTTTCTCTCAAACTTTACTATGAAGTTTTTAATAAACTTACTCCAAAGATCTCTGGATTATTTTTAGTGTGTTGCTCTAAAATGTTGCTGCCAGTTTACAAAAAGATGAACATCTTTGTCTTGTTTGCTTTGCAGGAATTCAAAAAATAAACAGTTCACTAGTTTGAAAATAGCGCCCTCTGCTGTTCAAAAATACATTTTTTATCATATTCTGTTTTATTTTTATGTAATAATACGATTTGTAGCAAGAATTTATTTTGTGTTTGTTTACATTTTTTAAATATAAATTTAACAAATGAATCATTGAATCGTGTTATGGATGATTTTACTTTTAAACAAAGTTTCGAGTCAAAATATTAACTTTCTTATTATTATATTTATGTGCCAATATTTTTGTTCACGGGGTGCAAACAATCAAAGATATTTCCATTTATTATTTTAATTATTTTTCATGTTGCACTCTGAGAAAACCTGAGACATCTGCCGATGTGTTGCTGATTAAGTCACACAAAACTCTTAATATTTCCACAAAAATGATCAAAATAAAAATAAAGACAAAATCTCTACAAAGTTAGTGTGTAGATTTTGTTGATTGGCTGAGTTGTAGCAAGAAAACTAAACAAATACAACCAAAATCAGCAACTCTTCTGCTTTACTTCCAAGACAAATATATGAACGTTCAACAAGCTTAAAGGTGGAATTAAAGTTTTGATTACTGGAAAGAAGAGACGAAAGATGGCGTATCAGTGCCATTGTAGAAATCAAAAAGAAACATATTTCCGTCAAGAAAAACCCTCAAAATATGAGAAATTTCCTAGAAAAAAACGTTGAAATTTCTGAGTTTCAAAAGTCGAAAATGTGCTGGAAAAAAATGAAATTTTGTATTTAATCTAAGAATTATTCCAGTTTTTTTTTCTCAAACTTTCGGAAATGTCCTCTTTTTTTTTCTTTTTTTTTTTTTTAATTGATCTCAAATTTTCGACTTTTGAAACTCACATATTTCTAGAACATTTCTGGGAATAATCTCAAAATGTCTTTTATGCCATGAATGTACCGCTCCACCCCCACTTTTTTCGGTCTACAATGGCCCAGAAAAACCTTCATAGTTTTCTGTGAAGAAATATTAAAAAGTCAGCTGGACTGTGATCCTCCAACGTGTCCTGCGTCTGGTCAACACAATACGTTCACATTCGTTCTGGGATTTGTAGTCCCTTCAGTGACCACGTTCGGTACATCCGCATTACTTCCGGTTTCCTTAAAGAACTACAACCCGCCCGGCGGAGCTCTGAGGAAGACAGCGGAGGTTTTCCGGCTGGGAACCAAAATGCTGGCCGTCCTGCCGGCGCTGCTGCTGCTGCTGCTGCTCAGCTCCAGGCCGGCCTGCGGCGTCTTCCAGAAGCTTTACTGCAGCTTCTCAGACAGCTGCGACTGCGACTTCAAGCCCAGCATCAGAGGTGAGTTTGGTCATGTTGTTTTCAGCTAATGCTACATGCTAGCAGGCGGCTAACAGGATAACATTCAGCTCAGAATGACTTACCGGTATGTTTTGGGTCGCCGTCATGTTCTGTTTCAGCTTAAATGTCTTTTTCTGATGGTCTCACATTTTCCGGATTCTGTAAGGGTCAGCTAGGCTGGTCCTGCTGCAGGAAATCATCCCCACACCATAACACTTCCACCTCTATGCTTCACATTTAGTATGAGGCTCTTTGGTCCAGAATATTTATTTGTTTCATGACAAACTTGTGCTCCGTTCTGGTGTCCAAATACTTTCATATTCCAGAAGTCCAGTTCTTATAAAACAATAGTTTAACATGTGCTGTTGCTGATGTAGCATACATGTTTGAAAACTTCTTTTAGCATCTTCTGCTCTGCTCTCAGGGTGAACTTGTGTTTTCCTCCTTTACAGAAGAAAGATAGATTTCAGATTCTTCTGACACCTGTTTAAATATCTTACCAGACTTGAAAACATGAACTACATTTGGTTTATGCAAAAAATGTCTACTTGTCTTTGGGTTTAGTCAGTCTAAAACTGCAGCAGTAGTTTATCAGCACTGAAGGCGTAAACTTTGAGAAAAACGTGACTTTTGTCAGTCAAAAGGGATCCTGGGATCCTGGGAGGCCCACAAAACGTCTGGACTGAGGGAAACCGCCTCAAAGTTTTCACATGCAAATGGTCTCAAAACATCAATATTATTATTTATCATGATAACTTATGGTATAATTTATTGTTCAGTAAAATTTGTAATCGTGGCAGTCAGGCATATCTACTAGTTTAAAATATCAAAGTTTCATGTCGTTCCTAAATAAAAACCTTTGGCTTGAATTGCTTATAAAAATAACACAATTCAGACAATTCAGTTTTTGTGTATTTGATGCTTCCTCTCAACCAGGACTCCTTTAAAAACAGGTTTTTGATATTAATGTATTTTTTTATCCTGGTAAAATAAATAATAATAATAACTGACAGGTTTAAGCTTTAACCTGTTTGTGTCATGATGAGCAGACTTGGAGTGGGACCTGTACAAGAACGTCTTCGGTCAGCACCTGGCCCAGGACCTGGTCTCAGAAGAAGTTTCCAGCTTTCTCCTCAATAAGAACCCGGATCGGCCCCTGGTTCTGTCCTTCCATGGCTCCTCTGGGACCGGGAAGACGCTGGTCAGCACCATGCTGGGGAACCACCTGTACGGCTCGGCCATGAGCAGCCCCTTCGTCCACCAGTTCGTCCCCACGCTCCACTTCCCCTCAGCCGAGCTCGTCGCTCAGTACCGGGTGAGTCGCTCTGGACAAGGCTGCAGAACCGCCATCAGAACCGCTCTGGGTTTTTCATTATATTTTAGTTTTATTCTGTTGTGACTTTGTGTTAGTCTAATTCAGTTAGTTTTAGTGATTTGTCCCAGAATCTGCTGGTTTTGAAGCTGTGTGTCTGCTCTGGTCGGCAGGAGGAGCTGAAGAGCTGGGTGAAGGGAAACCTGACGGCCTGCGCGCGCTCCGTCTTCATTTTTGATGAGATGGAGAAGATGCCTGCAGGCCTGATCGACGTCCTGGAGCCGTTCCTGGGTCCGTCCCACGTTGTGTTTCGCACCAACTACAGGAAGGCCATCTACGTCTTCATAAGGTAGCCTGGACACCAGACACACAATCATTCACCATAAAATTACACAAACTGGAAACATGAAAATGAATTAGCTTAATAAAATCACGCCAGTTTTTAAAAACTCAAGTTTTTGGATTAAAAGTTTTGCCGCTAGGATGAGGTGGTTTTTCACGATTATCAAAGTAAAACTGCAGTGGAAACAACAACCAGATGTTACTACTGGCAGAAACCATGAAGAAGAAGACAGGAAGTAGTCAGAGGATGATGGTGCTGCATGTTTTTTTTATAACTTATCACATGAACAAACTTATTCACGTGATGTAAATTACATTTCTTATATAATAAAAAGACAGCAATAGCGATATAGTGCGGTTTTTGTTACGTTTCCCTTTCATCCATCCCATGCCGGATATGGGATGGGTGAATATGCCCATATACGATTGCATATGCCATAAAATACGACGTCATATTAGTGCCATGATAGATAGGAAAAACTTGGACATTTCTGAGTTTGAAGTCAAAAATTTGCTAGAAAATACTGAGTTTAATCTCAGAATTTTTGGGGGGAAAAAAATGGGAATTTCTGAGCTTGAAAAGTGATAAATTTGCTAGAAAAAATTCAGAAATGTTGAGATTAATCACTGATATTTCTAGAAAAAAATCAAGGAAACTTCTGAGCTTGAAAAGTTTTGAATCTCAGATTTCAAATTTTTTCTGGAACATTTCTGAGATTAATCTCAAAATGTCTAAGTTTTTCCTGTTCTTTTTTTTTATTGATTAAATTTCTGATTAATTTAACAGTTTTGGAGTTTCTCCTCGCAGGTTTTTGAGTCTTTTGGTGGGAAATTGCTCCTCCTTTTTTATTTTTCTACCTGCGGCGGCCCCGATGCTCCGTGGTATCGTTGGTTCCAGGTGTGGCCGTCTCCCTGACGTTCTCGTCTCCAGGTGTTTGTCACCGTTTCCTTGGTGATTCCACCTGAGAGTCTGTCGTTCAGCGGTTTGTTCAGTGTGTGTCCGACCCAACGCCGTCTTTCCTCCTGATTTCTGCCTCTGCTGGCAGCTGGCCGGTTCTTTCCTTTGGGTTCATGTTACTGTCTGACCAGCGGATGTGGAGCCTCCTTTTGGGATGCTGTTGTCATGGCAACGCAGCTGCTGTAAACCTCTGCCTCCTGGTTTCTGTTTGTCTGCAGCACCGCAGGACAGGAGGCGATACACCGGCTGGTTCTGGAGAACCGGCTGGCTGGACGGGACAGAGACGAGATCAAACCGTCTGACCTGCAGGAAGTCGTCCAGCAGTCGGTTTACAGCAACAAAACCAGTAAGAGACGCCCGTCAGATCTCTGAGTTCTGATTATTTAGTTTATTAAAGTCTGGATTGTTTTTCCTCCAGTTCTCTCTCTGGGTTTCCAAAGTCCAGAGTGATGTCATCACAACCACAGCGGCCATCTTGTTTTACATCTTCTGTGATTTCAAGTCAACCCACAGAAGGAAAAAAAACAATTTCTGATCATATTTTCTGTCATTTGTAATTTCTTTTTTAGAAAAGAAAGCGAGAGAGGGAAAAAAGTATTAAATTGTAAATTAAATTTAATATAAAACATTCAGAGATGTTATTTTTAAGCCGCATGGTTTTGATATTCTGATCATCGCTATGGAAACCAGCAGCAGAAACCAGTTTTTCTGCTCTTCTTATGATTTTACAAAATTCGGCTTTTACTATTTGAACAGATATTACTGAAAGTTAAATCAAACTGTGAAGCTGGTATATTACTGAACATGGATAATTCATAAGTTATTACCTACAGAGACTTGGCTGTTCCAGAACCTGTGGTTCCAGATTTACCGTCTGGCTTCTTCTGCTGCAGGATGATGACGCATGTCTCACTTCAACGACGTAAAAATCAGACAAAATGTGACATTCAGACTGCAGACGTTCTGAAAACTATCTGATATGACTTGGTTCCACATATGGAAGTGGGACAAATTGGATTTGTTTTTTTTGGTACATCATAACTGAGATGTCCAGAGTGCCATGAAAAAGTCGGATGTTCATATTTGGGTCAAATAATTCACACTGCTGTGTGAACGGAGCCAACCTGGAGTTTTTACTCACCGTTATTTTAATAAAGATATTTTGTTTATATATTTGAAATGTTCCGATCAGTACCAAGGGTTGATCCACGCCTTCTGCACCTTTCTCCTTCCACTAAACTTTCCATCAACATATTTTGATACAACACTTGAACAGCCAGCTTCTTCAGTGACTGAAGTCGTGACCATTAATGGCTGAGCAGACCTGAACATGTTCATATCAACATGTCTGTGTTGGGTTTTCCTGATATCAGGATGATAAATGACTGACTCAGGATTCTCCCTGATCGTCTCTGCAGTGAATCCTGTCTGAACCCGTCTGTCTCCCCAGGTGGACTCTACCTGTCCAGCATCATCCAGCAGAATCTCATCACTCGCTTCGTCCCCTTCCTGCCGCTGACCCGGACCCACGTGGAGCGCTGCGTCCGCGCGCAGCTCTGCCAGCGCGGCAGCTGTAACCGCGACGACGTGGTGGAGGCGGTGGGGGGAGACATGACCTATGACCCCGCAGAGGGACACTACTTCTCCACCACGGGATGCAAGACGGTCGCTGGAAAGATCAGCTTCTTCCTGTGAGCCGCAGCCAGACGGTTCTGGTTCCACTGGGACGAAAACGCCTCCGATCCGCTTTCAGGACGCAGGATTTGAACCGACGACCCGATGCTCATGGGCAACCGGAGGGAAAAGCTCTTTGAAGGCAGAAGGCAGCAGGAGGAAACAAATGGCAGCAGCAGAGTTTGGTGGCTGCTGCCTCTTCATGGTCTGAACCAGGAATCCTTTCTACCACGGCGATTTGGGGCGGTTAGACAGACACAGGAGCAAAACTCAGCCAAAAAAAAAGTTTACAGATTAATCTAATTTCAAAGCTCCAAAAGTCAAAAATTCACTCCAAAAAAATAATCTGAAATTTGAACATTAATCTCAAATTTTCTACAGAAAATCTGGAAATTTGTCACTTTGAAAAGTGAGAAATTTGTTGGAAAAAATGTTTAGATTAACCTCTGAAATTTTCTAGAGAAAAACTGAAGTCAAATATTTGCCAGAAAAACATCTGAAATTTTGAGATCTTAGAGATTATAAAAAACTTGTACATTTCTTAGTTTCAAAAGTCAAACATTTTTACTTTTGGAGCTTAGAATTTTCTGTGTTTTTTCTAGAAAATGTTTAAAATTAATGTCAAAATTTCTGAATCTTTTGGCAGAAATTTACTCTTATTTTTTTAATATGCCACCGTATTTCTACCGTGGACCAAACCTTAGACGACTTTTAAAACCTACAGCTTTTCAAAAAGCTGCAGCTGCTTCATTGACTTGTTTTATTTTATTTAAATTATTTTTGCTCTCCGTCTGTCAGCCTTCAGGCGACTTCAGACGCCTCACAGGGTTCAGTGAAGATTTTTGATTTCTTTGGTCCTTTTAGGGATGCAGAGGAACAAAGACTCTGACTTTATTTTATAAGTTATTATTTTATGGAAAGGGATCAGAGATTTGAATGAAAATGTTTTAATTTCAAGATGTTTGAACCATAAGACGGTTTTTGATATTTTCACTGATGTGAAGTGAAATATTGTTTGAAGATGGAGGGAAACTAATGAGCTGAATAAATCCAGATGAAGGAATGCCAAAGCTGACAAAATGAGACGGAGGATTAGGGACGTCATAGATTAAAAAAAATGCCCATGAAGGAGTACATTCCAAAAAACATGTTTTAGATTAATTTCTCATATCAACAACAAAAAACTTGGAAATTCTCATATCACAATGTAATAAGTTTGCAAAAAAAGTCAATTTTTTATGATTAAAATCATAAATTTACAATGTAAACATGAAGATACTGTCTGAGATGATAAAATCAGACATTTCTGATAAAATAATGACAAAGGTTTTGATTAAAAAGATTTTTAATCAATTCATGAGTTTCTTCTTTTACAAATTTCTAACTTTCCAAAGTCAGAGAATATCCAATTTATGTTATTTTAAATTTATGTCTTTAATTGCGGAAAATTCACCACTTGTTAGTGAAGATTTATGAATGTTTGACATCAGAGAATTACTATGTTTTTATGATAATGGGAGGTTTTATTATTTTTATAGTTTTTTCTGATGTTCAATGGCCCTAATACTCTGTCACAGACTGAGGGACAAAACTAACTAAATAAATAAATCATTAATTAAATGTATATTTAAATATTTTTAGAAACAATTTAAATGTAGTTAAATCATTAAAAATGCAAACTTATAATAATTATTTAATGGTGATGCTGCAGGAACAGAACCATCAAATAATTAAATACATTTTAAAAATGTGTATCAGTTATCATGAGTTTGCATTTTAATTACTTAATTTCATATTTAACTAATTAATTGTCCACTACATAAACTATGATCTATTTATTTATTTAACTTTGTCCCTTTTGGCCTTCCATAGGATACAGCTCCTAAACATTTGAATCAAGTAGGATTCAAAGGTTAGGAGCTCATCTCTACTTCTGCCAGCAGGGGGCAGCAAAGACTTTTTAGTGCCAAAAGCGGAAGATGAGGTGAGGAAGAGTTAACCTGTTAGTTATATTTTGTTCATGTCTGTTCTGATCAGTAAAGAGAGTTTTATCTTAAAAACTGTGCGGCTGCTAATCAGAATGGATCTGGATGCTAAAATCTCAGCTGTTTCCTTCAGATTGAACAGTTTACAGCTTAAAAAAACTGTTTACAGCCAAGAACTGAGTGTAGAAGAAAATGATTCTTCAGTATATTAAATAAACTATCAGAGGAAATCAGCGTTTGAGAACAGAATGTTTCCAAATTGTGGCCTGGGGGCCATTTTTGGGCGGCCGTTGATTTGAAATGTAATGTGAATCATAAAGCATTCATTCAGGTTTTTCTTTCAGTTTAATTTAAAATTAATTTAAAATTAATCTGGGAAACTTGAAAGATTTTTTTGTTTTATCTCTACAATTATTTACACACTCTTTGGCTACAGAAACCGACTGATTTCATTAAAATAATTAGAAAAATAAATACTAAGACGTTAGTTTCAATGCCACAGAGTTTGGACTCCGGTGCTTTGTGGCCACCGGGGGGCGCCAGACTCACCAGGGAACTCATCCCGGTTTTCCATCCTAGTGGACATTTCGGAGTCGTCCTCCTGCCTACAGGAAGTCACTGTTGCCACCTATATATGCCACATGGCCCCTCCATCCTGCGGTGATGACTTCATCAGCCATCGCCCCGCCCGCCGCCGCCGTCACAGGGCGGTGCGAGGAAGAGGAGGGGTTCAAAGGTCAGCTCTGAGGTCTCCTCACCCCAGCTGCTGTTGCTATGTGTCGCCATGTCAGTTCACAACAATAAAGCATACACACAGCTGATGATAGGATGACCTCCACACACACACACACACACACACCTTGGCGACCTCTGGTTGATTTTCACACGCTCTCAGCAGAAGAGTCGACCTGCTTCTGGAAGTTTCTCCTCATCCTTTCATCGCTCTTCCTTTTCTCAACCTGGACAGAAAAAAAAAAACATTTTCCTGTCCCACTTCAGCCCGGTTCCATCTTTAATTCCTCGCCGCTTCCTGTCTTCCATCAGAGGTGCTGGGTGGGGGGGACAATGGGACGCTGCTCCGTCCTCCCCCCTACACCCACCGTCACATCTGTGAGTGCCCCTCTGTCTCTTCATTCTTCTCGCTAACCGCTCCATTATTGGGGCTCTTTCACTTGTAAATGTGGCCAGTGATACTTCTGATGGGTCTTTTGTGCAAGCGGTCCGGGTCAGGAGGAAGGTAGGGGCCAGAGGGAAGGTGGTGGGGACAGAGACGGGGGGTGAGTGGGTCATGGTTGAGGGTGGCATGGGGAGGGGGGGCTGTTTCAGGGTCTTGTGCTGTTTTTTCTAGCAGGACAATTGTGACAAAGAGTTAAATCCTTTTTTTGTGTGTGCAGTCATTTGGGACGGCCCAAGCTCTCACTTCAAATTCCAGCAGCCGGCCGGCCGCCCCCCGGTGCCTCCGATACCCCCAAATCTACCCCCACTCCACCCTCAGGGTAAGATGCAGAGGAACGGGCAGGATGGAGGTGGAAGGACAGTCAGAGTGGAAACTAAACAGGAAGTGATCAAAGATAATGTGTGCAGGTCATCCTCCGCTTCTTCAACATCACACATCTGCCAGATTTAAAGGGCCAGTAACGTAAAATCAGCTTTTCATCATGTTATCATGTTATTCCTTCATCTAAAACAAACCTGGAGTGTTATTTTGATTCTTTAATCTCCATGGCAGCCAGCTGTGCAAAACACCTGGGTGGACCTAGCTCCGCCTTCGAGGCTCATATCCTCCCCCACTCAGCTCCTTTAGACTAGCCAGCAGCAATTAGCAAACAGCTAATTGCCACAGCTGGTGGATCAAAAACAGCTGGTGGATCTGCTGAGCTCATTATAGGAGCTGCTTCTCAAAGCAAAGCTGGTAAAAATACAGTTAATAAGAGAGCCATGTTGGGGTGACTTCCTGAAGGCGGAGCTTCAGAAAGAGCAGAAGCTTCTTAAAGAGACAGAGGCCCAAATTCAATTAGTTAAATTACAAAGTCATATTTTTTTAAAGTCATAAAATATGACTTTAAAAAAGTCATATTTAATAAAGTATTAAGCATTTTATAACTGAAGGTAACAGTTATTTGATTGTGATATAAAATGATGCTGTCATTCATAGTTCTGCCCTTTAAAGATCCAATTTTAAACCAGAGGCTGTAGCTCAGTCTGTCTACATGCTGATCTTATCTGCTGCTTTAGTCTCTTTGCTGACCTCGTCACTCAGATTCACACAGCAGAGGGTGGTGGCAGTGACAGTCGGGTCTCCGGGACAACAGGTGAACAATGGGGACCCTGGGGGCGCAGGGAGCTTGACCTTGGCCTCAGAGCGATGGTCAGATGGGGTGCGAAGGCCACCGGCCGTGAAGGCAGAGGAGGAGGATGAAGAGCGTGGAGGGATAAAGGCTGTGACATCCCTCACTCTCTTCAAACCTGCAGTGATTAATGACAAAACACACACACACACAGAGGGAGCGAGGTGACCCCGGCGAGGCCGCTGCTCAAACATCGGGCCTCGGCTCTTTGACGTGGTCATTTTCCCAACGCTGCTGATTGATGAGCGATTCCTTTCCCACCACAAATTATGGTAATAACGCTGATCGAGGGGCTGAGAGTCTGCAGCTGCTGCCTGCGGCTCCCTGATCCACAGAAATGTTTGCTCTTCACAGCAGATGGGACTTTGTTCGGACATGCCTCTAAAAGTCTCAACTGGTGATTAGATTTGGTTAAAAGAAAACATTTCTAACCAAACCCAACAGGAGCTGTTCTTTGGGTACAAATCTGTATTTTCAGTGAGAATTACAGTTTTAGAGGCTCAAACAACAACAGTGAAGAAGATGCAAATAAAAAAAAATGTTTTAAGGAACACTCAGAAGTCCAATCTTATTTGGAAATCAAGACATAGACGTAATTCAGAAAACTGGGATCAAGAGATGAATCAGAGAAAAATGTCTCAGCATGTAATGAAGAAACAGTGGAAGAGCTTTCCATATTTCCTGGACATTGACTGGACACAATGGACAAAGGACGACTTTGGGAAACTACTGCATGTTAGTCTTGCTCAGATGTGGCGTCCCTCAGATCATCACAGTGAGAATGTGATTGTGATCAGACGAATCAACATTCTAGATCTTGGACTGCAGAAAGTAATAAATCCTTTAAACCAGGTGCTGATATAGTTGTATCATATTTTTCATGTGATATGGTTCCATTGTGTTGTAGGGCTGTATCAAGGTATTGTATTGTATTGAGGTATTTGGCTGTCATGCAGTTTGTATCTTTGTGTCTTTGGCAAAGATTTCAGAGCAACAGACGATCTTAACATGAACTTTTCCAGGGCAAAGTGACGAAAATCCACACTCTTCACATTTTCCCATGTGGAAAATGTGGAAACATTCGTTTTAAAGTTCCACCTCTGGAATTTAAAACCAAAAACGTTTTATTGTTTTATTGTTTGCAGACAGAATCTTTCTTCGTTTTTTGATAGAACAAAACAGTTTCCTGGTGCTAATAATTTGAGAAATCCAGAATTNGTTATTTTATTATCAATATCGAAAGAATTTTCCTCAAACAACAAGTGGAAAAATGTTGCTTCTGATCTTTGTTTGCTTCACCTGTTTAATGTAGATTAGCTGGTCTAAGGTCTACCAAACAGTGGAAATCCTCCAGATATATATAGTCATTTTGACCTTTATACATCAAAACAAATATTATCTTTAACAGTGTTCAGTTTTATTTCCCATTTCTGCTCTGATCAGTAGATGTTTGTTGTCTTGTATCTGGAGTATTGTTTGCTCCAGAGCTGGTTTTGGGTTTTGTTGCTCATGATGTTCAGAAGTTTGCTTACAGCCGTTTTAAATGTTTGGAATCACAGCAGCCGTCTCCCATCAGCTCGTTAACACACCTGGACTTAACGAGTCCCAGGAACCTCTCAGAAATGCTGCTGTGGTTTTTCACCTGTTGTGTCACCAGCCTGGTTTCTCTTGTTCCTTGTGTTATTTTGGATTCTCCTCTGGACCTTTGAGTTTTTCAGAGTTATTGGTCATTTTATGTAGTTTATTTTCTCCTGTGTTTTGCTTCATAAGCTGTTTGGTTTCAATCTTTCCTTCCAGATTCTTCTGTCGTTCTGTTCCCTGAATAATCTTCAAGGCTGTTCTGTTTTTATACATAAAGGAAAGAAAAAAGACAGTTTGTGGTTGTGAAAATATGCATATTTGCAGAGTAGCTGATTACTCAGGCTGTAAGACGTTCATTATGTTCATCAGAACGACAGAACAGAGGAAACCGTCTCTGTGGCACCGGCCTGAAGGTAAAAGTCTAAGCAGTTTGTGTCCAGGATGTTTGGGGTCTGCAGAAATGCCAGCGGCTCTTTTCCTGACCCTTGACCTATCTACGCCCTGGGTGGAGGGACCTGTTGTTCTATGTCTTGTGGAAGAACTAAGCCACAGACTTTCCATTATAAATGTGTGTGAAACTTTGTTGATATTCTGCCTATGTAAAAAAAAAAAACACACAATTTCAGAATAGCAGTGTTTCCGTTAAGTAAGAAATGCAATTAATATTACGTGACAAGTTATTAAAAAACATGCTGGGTCATTATCCTTCAACTCCTTCCTGTGGTTTTCTTCTTCGTGGTTTCTGGCAGTGGTAACATCCGGTTGTTGGTCATGTGACTCGTGTGACGTGAAAAGTGTTTCCATTGCAGTTTGTGAAATAAATCTCCTCATCCAAACACTAAATCGTATCGAAAAACAAGTTTTTTTGAAATTGTAATGTTTCCATTAAGCAGATTTATTTTCACACTGCCAAATTGTGCAATCATATGATCAGTGGAGATGCAGCTGTGATCACAGGACAGACTGATTGTTGGTGGCTCAGAAGACGACCAGCGGCTCCCATGGAAGGAAAACTGAAGGTGAAATGATTTTATCTGCTGATGATTTCAGAGCAGAATGTTTCACTGATCTTCATCAACCAGACGATGAGCTGGCCTGCAGCCCAGAGCCACTGCAGGAAGCATCACACTGATCTGGCCAGCGTGAGGACCGTGTCAGAGAACGAGCAGATAAAGGGCCTAGTCCAATCAGCAGGAGAGCTTCAGGCCTGGATCGGTCTGTACAGACTCTCCTGGGTGTGGGTGGATGGCAGTAACTCCTCCTTCCGCCACTGGAGAGCGTCAGAACCGAACGGGTCGGAGGAGAACTGTGCAGCCGCCGTTCCTGCAGACGGCGGGCGGTGGGAGGACTGGCCCTGCTCCTGGAAAATGCCTTTTTTTTGCAACGCAGGTAAGACTTGATTCTGTAGGTTTTCTCAGTAAATTGATTTTATCTTCTATTCAGACAGTTTGTTTCTGCTAACAACGTTCAAAAGGATTTAGTTAAAATACTGAAAAAGCAAATCCTTTATTTCAGAACGTCCATCCGTCATCTGGACGGTCACTTTGCATCCATCTGCTTCTCTAAAAGTCACACACATTAAATCCTTAAACAAATTTAAAGCAGATATAATCTCCACAGAGTTTGCATCAGCCTGTGACTCAGAGTTTACAGAACTTTGAAGAGATTGGAACAGATGAACTTTCCTCTTCTGTGAAATATCTCAGTATTTTCAGATCAGGACAGAAGCCTGGTTTCATAAATGCCTCCAATTTAAACACAAAACGTGGCAGTTTACGGCTTTTATTCCCCCCCAAAGGTGGAAACCGACCTGCTGGTTACCATAACAACGGTAGAAAAAATACTGCCATAAACAAGGAGGTTATGAAGGAATAAACAGCTGAGATTTACCGTTTAAATCTGAAACAAACTCAAGTAAGAATAATGCAAGGAAAACTGATCCGAGTCGTCGTCCCTGTGGCGCTCCAGGACTACGACCTCAATTCTCCGGTCCATCAAACCCAGATCAGTGATAAGATGCCAAACCGAGATTTAAAAACAGTTTTCATGTCGAATGGAGAAAGTTGTGACACCAGTTTGTTTGTCAAAGTTCCAGGTTCAAAGCGGCTGGTGAAGGTGAAGCTGGTGAAGTCTTCCTCTCTGGACCTCAGAGACCCGGCTGTGCTGGCAGACCTGCTGCAGCAGGTACGGCTTCTGGCTTAGGACAAAAATCTGCTTTACGGCTCCACACTGGGGAAGCTCAACAGCAAACTGACAATCAAAGCAATTAAATTAAAAGTAACCAAACAGCAAAGGTAAAATCACAGCATGAAAACACTGTGGAGTACAATTATTTAAGAAACATACAAATTAAGCATTTCTGCATTAAAACCGAAATGAAGAGCAAACAGCAGAGAAGAAAACACTCACTGAGTCTGTCACTCGCTGTGTTTCCGTTACAAATGATCTCAGACATTTGTCAATATTCTGCTTATGCCAAAAAAAACACAATTTTGAATTGTGATGTTTCAATAAAATAAGAAATTAAATTAAAATCACACATCAATAAGTTTGTTTGTGCAGTAGGTCATTAAAACCCAAATCTCTCCATGATCCTCCTACCACTTCCTGTTGTCTTCTTCTTTGTGTTTTCCTCCAGTAGTATCATCTGGCAAAAACAAAGTTTCCATTGCAGTTTTTCAAAATACACTAATTTCCATACAGCTGAAAAGTTCTTTGAGAAAATAAAATACTATTTTTTGGTATTAATTGCCTTCCTGACGGTGTAAAAATCTGTTTTTATTTTAATTAGACACATGAAATTTTGTGCATTTTTGATCGCATTGGCATTCCATACACAGAGCAGGAGAATCAGAGGGTCTCAGGCGAACTCAGCACCAGAGACCAACACCGAGCAAACATGATTTATAAATGACTGTTTACTGCTCGCTCAGACTGTTGGCACAGATAAAACACCGTAGAAGTTTTTCAGCAAAACTGCAGGAAAAGTGAGTGTGTTAAAACACTCACATCCCCCACTGTGTTTAAATCTGAAATTCTTAGCTCAGCTTGACGCTCGCTGGGTTTGGTTGCAGCTCTGAGTTTCCGTCAATTCACTGATTACTGGAAACAAATCTGTCCAGAAGAAAACATCTGTGGGGATTTGAGGAAAAAAACTTATTACCTGTTGCATGATGTGTGATGAAAACACTGTTATGTGGATTATTTTTGTCCTGATTGTCAGAAATTAAAATGTTGCGTCTCAGTTTGAACAGAAGTTGAAGGCCAGCAGATCGGATGGAGACGTCAGGCTGAGCTGGAGGAAAACGTTGGATGGAGAAATCTTCCACCAGGAGCGATCATCAGCTTCAGACTGGAAGACTGGACTCCTCTAAAGACTTCCAGCTTCACAAATCTAAAGTTTATATTTGTGATGTGATTATCATAATTTCTTTGTGTGCTGATAGACAGAAGGTCTGAGAGTCTGAATGGATGAATAAAACATGGCTGACTCAAACTAAACATCGTTTTTCATCCTTTTAGAGATTCAGGCTTCATCTAGTGAGTATTTCTGAGCTTAACAGGCAGCAGATGGAAATATAAGTTAAAACACATGAATTTCAATTAGATTCAATCTAAAAGAACAACTTATGATAAATATCTATGGTGGGAACCGCTAGCTAAGAAGCTAGCTGCGCTAACACTGAAGCACTAATCACAAACATTAGTTTTGCTAATGCTAAAGCGCTACGTCAACATGGTGTTTAGTGGAAGCTAACGCACATCAGGTTCGTTTACCTTCCCATATATTCAACCAATTTTCATTTTGTTTACATGAATTATATAAAATGTGATTTTACTGTGTGAGCGTTGGAAAAGAATCAGAAGAAAAACCTGAAAATAAAAACATTTTTTTATCTTCCTCTTTTTTAAAACAGCAAAAACAAACAAAAGTGAAGTAAATCTGTTCAGAAAGTCTCACTGTGTCTGTCTGAGCTTAGCAGTGGCAGCTGAAACAAGTGAGTTTAAAATGTGTTCATAGAAACCAGGTTTGATCGTGCATCAATGGTTTTGGGGTAAATTTTGTGCTAAAAGGTTTAAAGATGTTTCTCATCCTTTCTGACTCTGAAGCATCTTGTAAATAATATGTAAATAAAAGTAGTTTGAATACTTTGAAGTATATTAAATGGATCAAGAATTAAAACCCAGAATAGGAAGAGTTTGCATCCTCTTTTTGCATGTGCGTGACAGCAGTGATATAAATACTATAAGCAGCTGCAGCCTGACGGAGCTGAAGGAAAAACTCAGGAGGATGGAAACGCTTCGCTTCGTCTCAGCTGCTGCCTGTAAGTGTCTCAGATCCAGATTGTCTCATGATTTTATGCTCCTGTTGCACCCTGGGAATAATTTGAGGTTATTACCATTTTTTAAAGTGATGGATGAAACACTGACAGCATTTTATTCATTCATGTATCTTATCTTATGCATCTTAAGTGCTTATTAAATTTATTTGCTTAAAACATTATGTGTAGTTCTTTCTGTTCAGACGCAGAAGAATCTGAGCAACACGTCACTGTTAGCATCAGTAGAAGAAGAAGCTCCGTAAAGTGACTGTTATCTGTCTGCTGCTGCTGCAGAGAAAACAATCTAAAGAGCACAAACCAGACGGATCCCGTCTGTTTCATGACAGCAACGTTTTGATCTTCTGCCACAAAATCAGCTGAACCTGCAGGCGGACGAAGCTCCTAAAATTATATTCAAGAGTGAAAAAGTATCTGGAAAAAACGCTAACAGATCAAAACATCCGGTTTCATATTTAAAAATTACATTTTCTAACAGACAAAAAGTATAAAGTTAGGTGCAAAATAAAAAAAAATACTACAAATATCAATACAAAATAAGCCAGAAAAAAACACTTTTCCTTTTTTTCAATATAAAATGTATTAAATTGTTACATCATAAGTTAGAAGAGGGTAAAATACTTCCAGTGACAATATATAGTTATTACTTCATATTTATATCTCAGCAGACAGAAACTAACAGCAAAACAACAAAGATTGTGTTCAAACACGAGGTCTCACTTTGACATTGGAATATTACTCAAGTAAAGGTAATAAGAACAAAAAAAGTTCTAAAACTCCTCCTAAAATTACATTTCGTCTAAAAAGTTACTCATGTAAATATAACTGAGTAAAAGTACTTAACCTGTGAAACCTGCAGAAAAGGATTTGGGTCATAGGGAAAAAATTTAATTTCTAACAAAAAATTAATTTAAATCTGACATGCATGAATTAAATCTGCACAGATTATATCAATAAAGCTGATTGTTCCCAGGTAACCGCCATCATTAAAGTCAGAATTAAACAAAGAGTTGAAACTCAGGATAAGGAAGTTTAAAGAGCAGATTCAACAGGACAAGCAAGATAATATCCAACTCAGCGTTTGAATCCTCACTGATGGAGCCGCTTCTCCCCAAACCTGCCCTCTCGGTCCAAACGGACCAGTTAAATCACGAGATTTATGTTCAAAATCCAGCAGAAACTGCTGCTGGAAAACGGCAGATTAATGCATTTCTCACAAAGTTTTTTATTCGTTTTCTGTAAAAACTGCAGGAAGTTTGAGGCGTTAGCTGAGATGCTAACGGCGCCGTGACCTCACTGCTGCTCAACTTTTCAGAAAAAACATTTTTAGATTTTTTTCATGAATTCAGCAAAAACTTTGTTCATCCAATCAGACCTCAAACCTGAGCTGAGTAGCAACTGGTTACATTTATGTCTCTAGTTATATTTATGTGAGTAACTCTTGAAAACACACACACACACACACACACACACACACATGTTTGTTTTGCTATCTTTGTGGGGACTTTCCATTGACTTCCATTCATTTCTACAGCCTAAACCTGACCTTTACCCTTTTCCTCACCCTAACCAACCAAAACTCAATTCATACCTTAGCCCTAACTCTGACCCCTGACCCAAAAACAGGGTTTCCCCTCGTGGGGACCAGGCTCCGGTCCCCACGAGGAGCGATTGGTCCCCACAACGTAGTATATGTCAGGAAAATCGTCCCCACAAGGTATTACAAACAAACGCACACACACACACACACACACACACACACACAGTCAGATTCACAGAAATGAAGACAGTCTTGTAGAAATGCTTTTCTTTCTGATTTAAAGTCA